CACACATCTTCAAGTTACCAAGGTTGAGAAGCCCTGCTCTAGATTAAATTTATTTGAATTCTTGCATTGGGCAGGAAGTTAGAAGGTGGCCTGAAGGGCCCTTTCCAACCTGGGGACTCTGTGGTTCTCTTGGATTCAGCCTGGGGCAGAAGCTAAGTGGCTGACAAGCTGGAAGAGCATTTCCATGTAGCTACACTTCATGAATCCCAGACTCTGTAAATTGGAGTATCCTTGGATGACATAAACTGAGGATTTGGCAGTTTAAAAGAGAAAAGAGGCAATAACGTTATTTGAAAATAAGAGCATGCATGGAGAAGAACCCATGAACATGAGAAATGTAGGAAATGAAAGAAACATGGAAGTGAAGCTGCAGATTCAGAAGGGGAAGGGGGCAAACTTTTGGCAAGAACATCATTTGAAAAGTTGCAGATAGCCAGTTGAGAGCCCCTATGGTTCCCAGCCAATCTGTGCAAAGGCACGTTATAGTCTAAGACATATGAAGGTATGGGTCTGATTAAAGCAAAGGATATTTCTCCTCTTGCTCCTAATCAGTACGAGCGCACCCTGACAGCCATCTCTTCTTGCCACGTCCTCTCATTGCTCTCATCATCAACTCTCCAGCCCATGAGTGAGACATGCTTAAAATATACTAGTATTAAACTAGTATTTCCCCCCATAACCCCGAAGCAGCCCAATAATGCAGACAACTTACATTTCTAAAGCACCGTAGAATATTTACTCTGGCTTTAACATTCTTTCTTCATCATTCTGTAAGGGTAGATGTAGAAAAAAACTACATGATGAGAGTCTCTGCCCAGTGGAGAGGGTGTATTGACACTCCCTATTACAGAAGTCCCATATCCTTCTGTAATGTTGCCTATATAAACAGAACCCCGATAACACCCAATACAAAACTTCATGCGACTCCAGATGATACTTATGTAAAATATCTACTTGGACATAAGAAGCCTAAAATCATAAGACAATTAGTGAAATGTTGTCTAACAGCATGCCAAACATGGCATTGTTATAAGAAGGAGCACCACATTTAGTGAGATTGGGGCTATTGGATGTAGTATGGTACCCTGGTTGTATAGAATATAAATGGTGGAACTGACTTGTAACTGGAATAAACTGATGGATTAATAGGGTCATATCTGACTTTTTTAACATTATTGTTAAGAATTTCAGTGCATTAATTTACTGCTATAATTAGTTTCATAATGTAGTTTAGTTTCATTTTATAATGTAGGGACTTAGTCTTTGGTATTTAAATGTTTTTAGTATTGTAGTGTTCTATGGTTAGGATAGTTTTAGTGTTTTAGAGCTAGTTGTACATTTTAGTTTGATTTATTTTATTTATTTTTCAAATTATTCAATTTTTTTAATAGGTTATTTTTATATGGATGCCATAAATCCTCTTATAAAATTGTCTATGCGTCTAGTCAGTGATCATCATAAAGGTGTTTATTCATTTCCCTCCTTATTCTGACACTCTCCAAAGATAGTCTTAATGAGTGTCAAACCTGTTGGGTCTTATCACACATGACCTTGGAGAGGAGTCAGACTGGTGGGGCCTGAGAACCACAACAAAGGAGGCAGAAGAGGGATTGGCAGTAGGAGCAGCAGATGTCATACTTGTCTAGGTTAACTCAGGGATGGATAGAAAGTACTTCAGCTCAGTGGTGGGGAAGGGCCCTCAGACAGATTTCTAGGAACAAGGGGAAAGGCTGGACCGAGTGCTCAGAAGCAGGCTGCAGATCATGAAGAAAAATAAATAACGGGGAAAAGAGAGTGAGTGCAAAATGGAAAAGGGAGGAACATTTTAAAGCTTTTGAAGGACCCTTTCAAGAAAGGGAAAGAAAACCCATTAATTGGGTGTTTAGTTGAGAATAGTAATAATAACAGAGGTGAACAAAGAGATTACAGGGAGAAGTAAAAGAGATGAGTATATAGGTAGCCCCCAGGTTAAGAACACCTGGTTTAAGGACAACGCATAGTTAAGAACAGAGCCTTTTGTAGCAAACTTCAAGTTAAATACACAATGGTTCAAGTTAATTACACAATACTATTTATACAATGTTATACAATAATACTGTTCCGGCTTACATACAAATTCAGCTTAAGGACAGACCTTGGGAACAGAACTCATTCTTAAACTGGGGACAGCCTATACTCTAAAAGGCAGAAATGCTGAAAGATCTAAGCAAAGTAATAAAAATACCTGTCTGGGTTCCTCTATTCCACATGGCTTGTTTCTTCATCAGAGACTAAACCATATGTCAAGGATGCCCAACATTCTTGCAGCCAAGGACCACACTTATAAAAAATGAGGGACCTCAAGAATTGGAGGGGTCATTGCCAGCAAAGTCATGATGTGGACTGGGCTAATTTTCTCTAGCTTTGTGGTGACTTAAGTCTTGGTGTACACATTTTGCCTCTTAAAACCTCCCAGAGCACCTACCTACCCCCTGTTTTTGGTCATCCTCACTCTGGGAGATTACATGATATCCTGATGGGTGCAAGAGAGATCTGAAGGGCTTAGTTAAATTTAGAAGGAGATGCTCTTATAATGAATGTGATTAAAGAATCCAGGATGGGCTTAAAACAAAATTCAGAATTTGTTTCAGAGATCCTCCTTTGGTTCAGATATACCATTGGATATTTAGTTCTTAAATTCATCTTCTTACTTTATTTATTCATTTATTCATTCATTCATTCATTCAATTTATATAGCCACCCATCTCACATGCATGATTCAACAAAACACATACAAATAAATAGCCAAAACAATAACAAAAACCATTAAAAACAAATTAAAATAGTTAAAACAATTAGCCATAAAACATAAAATGCAGGAGAGTGCCAACCAGTAGCTTACAAACAACACAACCATCTTGCAGTTTCCATCCCTCCACAAGATCCCCAGGCCCAGTGGCAAAGCCATGTCTTCAGGGTCTTTCAAAAGGCCAATCTAATCTCAGGGGGGATGATATTCCGGAAGCTGGGTGCCACAGCAGAAAAGCCTCTCCTCCTGGGTCCCATCAGATGAAATTCCTTAGTAGACCTGTACTATACCTCTTTTGCCAGACCTGATGGATGAGTAGATGTAACTGGGGAAAGGCGATCCGTCAAATAACCCAGCCCCATACCATGTAGGGTTTTATAGGTCATAACACCTTGAACTGAACCCAGAAGCAAACTGGCAATCAATGCAGCTCACCGAACAGATTGTAGAGTGATGTGCACTGATCTCAGGGGGCACATAATTGCCTGTACTGCCACATTTTGCACCAGTTGCAGCTTCCAGGTGTTCTTCAAGGGCAGCCCCGTGTACAGCACATTACAGTAATCCATTTCGGGGATGACCAGGGCATGAATGACTAAGAGTGGAGCCTTCTGACCCAGGAACAGGCTCAATGGTGCAGAACCCAAAGTTGCACTAAGGCCCTCCTAGCCGTTACCGCCACCTGCTCTCTTTTGCTTTCCTTGGCCATATTTTGAAATGTCTCCAACCTGGTACCATCTAAATACATTGCACTACAATTCCTGTCATTCCAGCTGCCGTGTTGTTGGGAGTGGTGATAGCTGTAGTTCAAACCATCCAGAGGTCATCAAGATTAGATGGCTGCCATAGAAAGCCATAGCCCACCAGATGAAGACTAGCACAAATGAGAAATTTAGTATAGAACTAACCAGGAAGCAATCTCAACTATTTTATAGAAAAGCAAGATGTAAATATATGTCATATAAATATGAGTTATGAAATAACTCATTTCCTTTTTCACTTGAAGGCCTCAATTGGGAGGCAGAGCCCAAGGATCGTGTCTTATTCTGCACATAACTTATGTTCTGGGAGATCCAATCTTCATACCACGGCAGGTAAGGAGATCTCCAGTCTTATGACTGGTCTTTTTAAATCATCCACATCATTATTCATTAATATTCCTCTTGATATTGCATTGGTTCTCCAACTCTGCATCCAATGAAACTACTGGTTTGCACCTTTAGAGCTTTAAACGTGATGGTTTACCTTGATGAGCTACCCAACCTGAGAGATCAGCTTTTCCCACCTGAAGTAAAACATTAGATTGATAGATACCAAGAAAAGCACCTTCACGTCGGTGGCCTCCCATATGTAGGATTGCTGTCTGCCAGAGATGTATACATTTCCATTACACTATCTTTGCTAGCAACTGATGAGATTCTTTCATTTCAGTCTGTATTTAATAAATTGCTGTATTTGGCTTCATCCTCACGGTTCTTCTATAAAGTAATGAAGTCTAGGTGGAGGTTTATTCAGATCTAAACTGGCTAACAGTAGCCTTCCTTCCTCCTCCCCCACCCCCAAAATCCATGCAGTGGTGTCTATGGGCTCAGCTGACCACCGATTCAACCTGGCTGAGATCCTGTCCCAGAACTACGGAGTACAGGAAAAGACGGAGGACGAGGACGAGGAGCAAGACCATCCCCAGGAGAAAGCAAAGCCTTTGGAAGAGCTAGAGAAGAGTTTCAATGCCTCTCAGGTGAGGGGCGTGGATGGCTGTTTTTGCATTTTCTCTGCTTATCTGGGGAGGTCACCAACTTAGGTGTTTGAGCATGTTGAGAATCTTGTGTGTTCTTCTATATTGTGCTACTGATTTGCAAGTTCCCAATTGCCATACCTGAGTAAGGATTACTCTCTCTTGTTGTTCAGAACAGTGAGATGCCCTTTGAAGAGCTTCTGGCACTGTATGGCTATGAGGCTTCTGACCCCATCTCTGAGCAGGAGAGTGAGAGCAATGACGCCACACCCAACCTTCCAGACATGACCCTGGATAAGGTAGGGGTACCCAAGTTGAGATGCCTGAGTAAGAATTTGAAGAGCCTCTCCTGGGTTTCCTTAATTGTCATTCTAAACTTGGGTTAACTCAACACAATTGCTTTGTTCTCATGGCATGCAACACCCAAAGTAGTAAACCATATTATTTATTTTATTTATATTTATATATCAAATTTGTCACTGCCCATCTCATTGAACGACTGGGTGGTTTACAAAACAGTTAAAATCAATCAAAATTACAAAATTACAATCTGCTATTAATAAATAGAAAATAAATAGACCCAAGAATAATTGGCAGTCACCTGGGGAGCATCATCAGGGCACTAGCCACCCCCAGGATTGGGTAAGGTTGTTGTCATCCCAGGCAAGCTGGCAGAGCCAGGTCTTTAATCCTTTCCAGAAGGCTGGGAGGGTAGGGGCCTGACGCACCTCTGGGGGAAGAATATTCCAAAGGGCGGGGGCAATGGCAGAGAAGGCTCTCCTCCTGGGCCCGCCAGCTGACATTGTATTGCTGATGGGATCTGCAACTTGCCCTCTCTGCCTGACTGTGTGGGACAGGTTGATGTAATGGGAGTGAGACGGTCCCTCAGGTAACCAGGACCCATACCATGCAGGGGTTTATTATGTAACATTATAGCTGGCTTCCAACAATACAGTGAACCACTAACTACGCTAGAGTCATTTTAGCTTCGGCTAGCATGTTAGGCAAACCCAGCAGTGTCTCACTGAATCTTGGGCTTCCAGGGTCATCTCTCCACCGCTTCTGGTCCTCATGAGTATATCACTATTTGTAAGAGGGAAGGACAAGCAGTGTTTTTTCAGTATTTCAGGAAGAGGTGACCTTTCACACTGATGGCTAGCTGATGCTTTCTCCCCAGAAAGGCCAAGAAAAAAATTGGGACTTCTGCACTGGAAAGCCTGACCTCCAACAGTTAGTTACCCAAATGAAGAGAAGTCTGTACTTTTCGTAGGCAAGGCATACATATTCCTTAGCAGTTTTGAATATAACTTGCAGAGTCGAGCAATAAACTTGTACTTCATTATTAGGTATTAGATTGAGAGGCTGCCCGACTCTAGGATGACTCTGGGTGGCTTATACATAAAAGCAGAGAATAATGAAAAGAAGAGCTTATGTACCCAGACAACCACATATGATATATCATAGCAAACAAATAACAGAGGTCCAACCCCAAGGACTCAGAGAACAGCCAAGTTTTTTAAAGACTTCTGAAACATCATCAGGGTGGAAGCTACAAAGATCTCTGGGGAAATATCATTCCAAAGGGCAAGCTATGCTTCCTGATGGCATTGTTTAATTGAAGAGTCCCAAAGTGCAGCCATTCTATTTGATTTTACTAGACATTTTCAGTCTGCAGAGTTGTTTGGTCAAATCTTCCATCACCAAATGAATGTTTTCCCTACACATGGGAAATTCAGAGAAGTGAATTCCTCAAAGCTGGACTCCTTGACGTGTGTTTCTAGATGCAGGAAGCTGTATCTGCAGAATGGTACAGGTAGTCCTCACTTAACAACCATTCGTTGGTCACTTTGAAGTTACAACGGTGCTAAACAAAGAGACTTACAACCAGTCCTTGCACTTACAACCACCACAGCACCCCCACGGTCATGTGATTGTGATCCAGGCACTTGGCAACCAGTTCACACGATAGTTGCAGCATCCCAGAGTCACGTGACTGTCATTTGTAACCTTCCCAGCCAGCTTCTGACAAGCAAAATCAGTGGGGAACCATGTGATTCGCTTAACAACCTCATGATTCGCTTAACGGCTGTGGTGATTTGCTTAATGACTGCTGCAAAAAAGGTCATAAAATTGGGCATGACTCAACCGCCCCACTTAACAATGAATTTTCCAGTCCCTATTGTGGTCACTGAGCGAGGACTACCTGTACTCAAATATATAGTCATTTTCAGTGTGGAATAGATGCACCTTGAAACTGTTCTATCACTTGATTCTGATGATTGGATTAATCAGCCCTTTGTTCTTGATCCGGAATGTAATAGTCTTACAATCAAATGTTTATGATTCTTCCTCCTTTTCTTAGCCTCATCTCCCCTTGGAGTCAGACTTTTAGATGTTTCTTTCTACACAATAAAGATTACTTGTAGTTTACCAGTGGGCAGCCCCACAACCTGCCTGTTTCCTCAAAAATTACCGTAGTCTAAGCTGCAAATTTCAGGAGGCTAAATTTAAAAAATAGGATTTATGAAATGGAGTTGACAAGAAAGGGGAGTTGTATACAGTTCTAATGTGATGATGTGAAAGAGAGGCTGTTCCACATGAAGTGGAATAACAGAAGAGGTGCTTCCTGTAAGCCCAGTTACTTATCCCACCTCCTCCCAAACTTTCTAAACATGGAGAGTCAAAGAATATACTGGAAATTCTGCCAATCTGTTTGGGGTCATGGTTTCATTGCTGCTCGCCCTTTATGTGTCTCAGCTCCTGAATAAAAAGGCAAGCAAAATGTTTGGGGATCTGGCTGCAAAAAAGAGTTGCCATTCACCCCACTCCTAGGCAAAAGTTTCTTCATCTTGTATGCAGAATTGTAAAGAAGACTTTGCCACAGAATTAACATTTTTATAATGTGTTTTTATCCTCTCTTTCCATCAGATGTGCAGGAGAGCGGAAACAACATAGTGTAGTTAAGACACAAATTTCAGTCACAGTAGAATAATAAAATAGCAGTTGACAAAGTCAAGTAAAAACAATAAGGTTAAAAAAAAACTCAGCAAATTAAGATTTTTAATCAGTTGGCAGATCAAGTGCTTCAGAGATCAGCCTAGTCATTTATATTACATTGGAAGTCTGACAGCAAAAAACAAGATTCACTCAGAAAGGAGTTTTGGTACCTGGGTTCTCCAAATGAAAAGCCTCCCACCAGTTTGTGGGGTGCAGATAAAAGTATCTCCAGATGATCTTGACCAAGCAGAAAGCTCCGTTGGAAGAAAGGAAGCTGGTCCCAAGATAGCTTTTAATGCTACTTAACCTGGAGCTAGATCCCACTGATATCAATGGAATTTGAGCAGACAAAGATCAGATTACAATGTAAGAATCATGACCCTTGTGAAATCAGTTCCATAGGGAGTTGGTGGACTCCCCTTCGCTTTCAAGCCAAAGCTGGACAGCTTTAATTTGGATTCCTACACTATGCCAGCAGCTGGATTGAAGAGCCAGAATAGCCCCTTCCAGCTCTCTTGCCAGAATTGTAAAGAAGATAAAAGAAGGCAGGAATATGTTTTAGGAGGCTTAAGTTAGAGGAATGCAGATTTCAGTTAAATATTAGCAAAATATTCCTAATGGTGGATATGTTCAAGAGTGGAACAAATTTTTAAAATGAGTTAATTCAGTAACCATTTTATGGGAACCCATCAACACACTAAATGTAATTCTGGGTTAACAAAACTTTTTGTCTGTGTTCACCCAACAAAGTTAATCAGATCAATTAAAGATCTAGTGGCTGTATTCATGCAACATTCTAAATTCACTTAGCTTTAACCTGATTAGTTTGTTCCATGGCTTAGCATGGTGTGTTGTGTAAATCCAGCCTGTTCATTTAGTTTGTAGTTCAGTGCATTGTGTAAACTGAGCAATATGGGTTTATTCAATAACCAGATTGTGTTATGCAAACAAAGCTAATTTTCTGTGTTCACATAACATAGTGTATGTCAAAAAATATTTTATGCCTCAGTGTGAAAGTCCAGTTAGCACAATGTGCAAGACACTTAACCTGTTGAACCACCTCATTTTAGCCTAGTCTAGCTTGTTGTCAACCCAACCTCTGATTCTACTTGATCTTGTCTTTTTTTTAAAAAATGCCCTCTTTTTCTGATTGTTGAATGAAGGAGCAGATAGCAAAGGACCTACTTTCTGGGGAAGAAGAAGAAGAGACGCAGTCTTCGGCAGATGATCTGACTCCTTCGGTCACTTCTCATGATGCGTCAGACCTTTTCCCCAATCAGACTGGCTGTAAGTTTGACTAAGAGTATCTCTTAGATCTCCAGAGGAGGGCAAGCAGGAGTAGTTTAGCTTTTCTTTGGTACTTCAGGCTGCAGTTTGTGGAGGAAATCCGTGTCTGGATGCAGTTCCACAATAAGAGACTGTCCACAGTATGCTCCTACATACTGGCCTTATTCATACAACTTACTTAACAGGCTGAAAGGTTGGGGAGGTAGTGTGTCAGGAGAACAGCTGAACCCATCAGCAGTTGTGGGTAGTGGAGAGCCATCTCCAGAATGCAGGTGGAGCAGGAGCTCCTTTGATTTCACAAAGGCCTGGTTCAAGACACAAGACGGATTCATAAATTTCTCTAAGGCATTTTTAGTGTGCAAGGAATTCACAGGCATCCGCAAGGGAGGGAAACAACACTTGCCTTGCAATGGCTGAAAATGATGTCATGTACATACTTGCGTCAGATGTTAGGATGCAGAATAACTCAAATGTGTAAGTCATGTTGTTTGCATGATCCTGTCAAGGTGCACATTTCTTCATTTTGAGGTCATCGCAGCTTCTTATGGATGCTGCTGAAGGGATTTTATTCAGGAATTAATTAATTAATTAATTTTTGTGACTGTGTTCACACAACCTTCTTTATCTGGTTACTGAATTAACCCATTTTCACACAATACATTGAATAAGGTATGTGCAAAATTCATAAATCCAGGAATGGCATGTTCCAGAGAACATGTTCCAGAGAACATGCCATTCCAGGGGGAAATTCTCTGGGACACTCCATTCCTGGATTGAGAACTTTTGCACATCCTCACATTGAATCCATGGGTGTTATCTACCTAGATTGACCTGATTCATGTGAACTGGTTCTTAAATAATTTCTAAGAACTCCACCCAGCTGCAGATGGAGCTTGTCCAAGTCCACCACCCCACCAATGTTGGGTTGCTTCAGGTCCATTGAGGGTGATGAACTAGGAAGCAGAGATAAAACCCAAGCCCAATCTCAGAGCCACACTACATCAAGGGCGCTGGGGCCATGTGTGCAGCCAGGGTGTTAGGCACCAAATGAGGTGATGGCAAGAAATTAGGTTCTTCCCACAAGAAGGGGCCCTCCATGTGCAGTAGGGTTTGCTTGCTACTTATCCTGCTCATTCAAGTTTGCTAAGAACAGCTTCCAAACACTGTATAGAACAGTGTTTCTCAACCTTGGCAACTTTAAGATGTGTGGATTCAACTCCCAGAATTCCCCAGCCAGCTGGCTAGGGAATTCTGGGAGCTGAAGTCCACACATCTTAAAGTTGCCAGGGTTGAAAACGCTGGTTAAGAGACCTGCAGCAATGCAGTCATCACTATCAACATTGATGGCCGAATGTCCTGTATGGCTTCTCTAGAAGAAAATTCTCCCCCACTCCCCCATTAACCTACTTTCCCCCCCAAGAACCATTGGTGTTTCTTGTAGAGGTGTTGGGTACGTCCTGATTATTAACTACTTTGATATTTCTCATTGTGAAGGCCTAACACGATGACAGATAACACTCCTGACCAAATCTGAACTAATCAAACCGGTTAAGTCCATACAGCTCACTTGAGTCATAGTAAAACTAACAATTAAAGTTGATCAAGATGAGCATGTTGTGTAGTTGCTCAGCCTTTCACTCTCCTTGTTAACAGCTTGTGTGAATACAGCCTTAAAAAATATTTAATAATAATATTTTAATTGGGATGCTCAACCAGTCCAAAGAATTTCTTGTTAAAATACAGTGCAGGTCTAGGCATTAAAAAAAATGTTAATAGTTGTCTTTTACAATTTTTCGCAGCTGCTGTGTGTTTTAT